GTGACCCATTGTTCAGAAGAGTATTATTCAATTTCCATGTGTTTATAGAGTTTTCGCTGTTGGTTTCCAATTTCATTGCACTATAGTCAGATAATATGCATGGGATAATTTCAGTTCCTTTGTATTTACTTAAATTAAGCATTTTCTATGGGCTAATATGTGATCTAGTTTGGAAAACATTCCATGTGCATCTGAGAATAATGTATATTCTGATGTTGTGGGGTGGAACACTGTAGACATACACTAAAGTCCATTTTCTCACAGGTTTGTTTCAGTTCTAATATTTCTTTCTTGATTTTTTTTTTTTTGTCTATTTGATCTATTTTTGACAGTGGGGTATTGAGTTCCCCCATTGTAATTGTATTAGTGCTTTTTTGATTTTTTTGTGTTCATTAATATTTGCTGTACATAGTTGGGTACACTGGTATTTGGTGCATATATATGTATGTTTGTTATCTCTTCCTCTAGGATTGTTCCCTCTACAAGGATATAGTGACCTTCTTCATCTCTCTTATTCAGTCTTGGCATAAAATTCACTTTGTCTGCAAACAGAATAGCTACCTCTGCTTTATTCTGGGTTCATGTCTCACTGAGTATTGTTTTTCACCCTTTGACTTTTAGCCTATGAATTTTTTTTGAGTTAAATGTTTTTCTTGTATGCAGCATATTGTTGGATCTTTTTTCTTGATCTATTCTGTCAGTCTATTTCTTTTGACTGGTAAGTTGAGACCATTTACATTGATGGTTATGACTGAAATAAATTGGCTCATCCTTGTCATATTATTTTCCTTTTGTTGGTTCCTTATCTTTCCTCCCTGTTTAATTGCTTGTCCTGCCTAGTGGCTTCTTTCTGTTGGTGTTCTTGGAATTGCGGTCTTCATTATCTCTTTCTAAAATATCCTTCAGGGCATTTTGTAGAGTTGGTTTAGTGGTCATGAATTTCTTCAGTTGCTCTTTTCATGGAAGTATCTTATTTCTTCATTGAATTTGAAGGATAGTTTTGCAGGTAACATCAATCTGGCTTGGAGGGTGTTTTCTTTCAGAACCTGAAATCCTTTACTCTAGGCTGTCCTTGACTTAAGGGTTTATGTTGAGAAGTCTGCTGTGATTCTGATGAGCTTTCCTATATAGGTGATTTGTTTCTTTCCTCTAACAATTTTTAATATTCTGTTCTTGTGCTGTATTTCTGGGATCTTGATAATTATCTGGCTTGGTGTAGTTTTATTTTGGTCATGGCTAGTTGGAGTTCTGTATACCTCACTAATTTGTATGTCAAATTTTTTTTCCCATGTTTGGGAAGTTTTCTGGCATTACTTCTTTGAATGGCTTTTTATTGCATTTGCACTATCTCCAGCTTTTTCATTGACTCCAGAAATTATTATATTATTTTTCTTTGGATCATCTTGTAGCTGTTGGATTGATTTTTCATGACCCCTTGCCATTTTTAAGATAATCTTTTTTTTTCATGTTCATAAACTGCAATATTGTCTAATAGATTAGAAATTCTGTCCACTTTCAATCTAGTACGTGTCCTTTCAGTGGAATTTTTAATCTCCTGGATTAAATGTTTGAGTCTGTTTCATAGATTCCATTTCTTTCCTATGTTCAGCATTCATGGTTTCCATCATTTTCCTAAACTCCTACTTTTTTGTGTGTGTGTGTGTGTTTTTTGTTTTTTTTTTTTTTTTGATACTGGGGATCAAACTCAAGACCTTGCACTTGCGAGGCAGGCGCCGGAACCACTGAGCTAAATCCCCAGCCCACTCCTACTTTTTTTTAATCTGTGTCTACTCTAGATTCATTCACTGAGCATGTCTTTCATTTTGATCATTTCTTTTTTTACCTGAGAGGTTATTTTCTCTATAATCCTATGCATCTGTTTTGTTTTGTTTTTTACTTATGCTATTATTATTTCTGAAATTTTAGGTGGGTGACTTCCAATTGCCTCTATCTCATTGTCCTCTGGACTTGTCCTAGGTGGGCTGGAGGTCTGGAATTTCATTTTGCTTCTGCATCTTGTCATTTTCTTTTTTTTTTTTCTACGTTGATGCTTACAAATGTCTTATGGCAGGTAGTTTTATCACTATCTGTCAAGGCTTCCCTAGGAAGTGTCTGCTCCTCAGAGAAGTCTTCTGGGCATATGTGGTTCTTGGTCTTTGTGTCTTTCCCAAGACCCTGCCTTCCTAATCCGTTAAGGATGAGAGGTTGCTATCTAGCTCAACATCCAGTCCTTTGGTACTGGACTTGGTGATGGTTGTGGCACCAGACAATTGCAGTGTCATCATACAAGGGAGAGCAACTGGTTATAACAGGATGACATCCTGGCTAAAATGACACAATTAGCAATACCACTAGCATCAAGCACCAGCACAGCCTAGAAAATGACAAGTTATGGTAACCGTTAATTTGACACCTTTAACCATAGGAGCAACATATACAGTTATGTAACACAATCCATCATAAACCTGAACTTATATGCAGTGAGCTTCCCCTTAGTGCTTTTACCCCATAAGGAGGGAATTTAAGAGGGATGGAGGGCAAAACAGATAAATGAAGGGAGGTGTAGTTGGGGCAAGGCTGGAGGATAGAGATGATCACCCAAGCTTTGGGAAACTGGAGAAAAGGGTAGAAGAGAAAGCATGAAGAGTAAAGCAAGAGATTATTGGGTATACACCAGAAAGATGAGAGACGATTTTCACTCACATGAAAATACCGTAAACTCAAGAGAGATAGTTGAGGAAAGAAAGAAGATGAGTAGAACAAGATGAAAGTAAAGCTAAAAACCTAAATAGTGAAGGAAAAACAAAAAACAGACAGAAAAAGGAAACAAAACCAACAAAGAAAGCAAAAGATAAAATTCCTCTGGTGTCCACAGTTCTGTGGCAGTGTCCAAGGCAGACAGTGTCGCAAAACCGTCCTCATACCCCTGCCAAGTCTGCAGTAGGATTAGGGTTGGATACAGGGTTGGTCTTGTGGGAGCTGGAGCCGGTCTTCAGCCAGCAGCTTTTTGGATCTCTCTCTCTGCCCCCCTCCCCATACCTCCTTACCTGGGATGCTGTGGCGCCCTCAGGCAAGGAGAGCCAGGGCTGCTCTCAGTCCTGTATACAGCTGATTCCGCTTGGTCTTTGCACAGCTTCCTCTGTTTCACCCAAACTGGCACTTCTTTATCCTAGCCCACCGCTTGTCGCAGGGTGGGCAGTGGGTACTGTTCCATAATGAATGCAGCCCAAAGGTTCTACTTAAATCTCCTGCCTAGCTGGCCGACCCTGGACTGTTTAAATCCCACATGCACATCTGCATCTTCCTCTCAAGCCCCTAGTCTCCACCCCCACCTCTGCTGCACTGTGCTGCAGTGGCTAGGCCGAGGCAAAAAGAAAGAAAGAGAAAGGGGGCTGGCAGGAAGAGGGCAGGTTATTTCTGGTCACTTGCCTCTGTGTTTGCCAGCGAAATTTGCTGCCAGGCTATAGCGACTTTTGTGTGGAGGAAGGCAGAAGAGGCCAGGGGCCTTTTTTCCCAAATCTATCCTCTGTGGCTTGAATTAGCTGCACTTTTTCAGTCCATCAGTTTCTTGGGGACTTCGCAGTAGGGCAATTCTTGCTTCGTACTGCCCATGCAGCTGGTAACCCTGTGAGCCGTTGCACTGTTCCATAAAGCCCCATGCCTATGTTTTGTTTGATCTGTTAGTTTCCTATTTCAGATTGATTTTGGTATCAGGATATGTATCCCTCCCTTCCTTCCAGTTACCTGTGTTTCAGCTGATTTCTCTGTGAGTAGGTCCAACGTGACAGTGGCTCCTCCTCCAGTCAGCCCTGTTCAATCTCCTACTTACATAATTTAGATGGCGCTGGAATCTCTCGTCCGTTTGAGAATAAAGGTGGTTATAAGAAGAGAAGGATAAAAGAGAGAAAAGCATATCAAAACAAATGAATACTTTAAAACAAATACCTGGAAATGTTTTTAAATCTGTGACTCTCTTTTACACCAGTACCCCAGAATGACTCCTAGTAGGTATGAGTGGCCATAAATGACACTGCCAGACAACCTAAGAGAATGTCTAAGTGGTGAGGATAGTAGGTCCCTGTAAAGGAGAGTGCACTTTATCGTGGGGAAGCAGACAGCTCATCAGCTCCCAGAAATCTTTTCTTCATTTTAATCAACAAAAGTGTGCATAAGCAGCTGATGCTGTGAACAGGAAAAGAGGGAGATTCCCAGGTGTGAAAGTGTCCCTGGAAACTGCTGGGAGGTCATCGGAGTCCTGACCATGTATTTAGCTGGACACAAGTAGTCAATACTTTTAAATTGACTGTTGGGATGCAAGGTATTCAAGAACAAGGATTTATGTCCCATCTGGGCCACCAAAGCTGTTATGGGTCACTTAAGCTCATAAGCTCAGGTTCATCTGCTCACCACTAACCAAATTAATAAAAAATAATACTAAATATTTACTTAAGGCTTACTCCAAAGGAATAGAGGGGCCTGTTTGCCTCCAAACTCCATTTCACCGTTTCTAGGTGGGCAAGGATCTTTTATAATAAAAAGCAGAGAAGAGGAAAAACAGAAATAATGCAGATCTTCACACTTGCTTTATCACTTTTAGCCATCTTTAGTTCATTGTCCTCTTGTGAAAACAAAAAAAGAAAAAGAAAAAAGAAACAAACAAAAACCTGAGCTCCAGGCTTCCTGGTGTCAGCATCCACATATTCTGTTCATTCACCTGGGCTAAAGAGAGGTGGGAAAAGCTGTTTATGCCTTAGACTTCAAAGAGCCACTTGTCCCTAAAAAATAAAAGTAAAAAACACCCCTAATTTAAAGTTCCATTTTGGAGTGCTAGTTACGTAAGTATTACACATGTGGATCTATCCTTAAGTTGGTGTTGTGCATACACACAAAAATGCCATCAATATCGCTAGCCCTATGCAGAATCCCTAGAGTGCTAAGAAAAAGAGCTAACTTTGGTGATGGTGTCTCCAGATGGTAATCTTTATTTTCTTTTTCTGTAGGAGTTGGTGATTTCAGTGTGTGGGAGTTCTCTGGAAATCCAGTGTATTTCTGCTGTTATGACTATTTTGCTGTAAATGATCCTACGTCGATCCATGTCATTGTTTTTAGTCTAGAAGAACCTTATGAGATCCAGCTGAACCAAGTGATTTTCTGGCTCAGTTTCCTAAAGTCTCTGGTCCCAGCAGAGGAGCCCATAGGTGAGCTGAGCCTCCAGGCTGTGATTGCTTTTCCTCTTCTGTTCTGCTGCTGCCCATGTCGTACTGGGCCACAGCCATTCCCAGACCCTGCAGTTTGAGTCTCAGAGCTGCTGTCTCCGTTCTTTCTTCTCCCCACTGGGAGGTTCCGTTCTGAGGCTCAGCTGGTCTCTGTGTTCTGCGGGGAGTTTTTGTCTCATGATCACATATTTCTGTCTCAAAGACCAATTCTAACATATTCCCCAAGACCTGTTTCTCACTTCTTTCTATACGTTAGAGCCATTGTTGTTTTTGCTGGATGCAAAGTGGAATCCTCCATCAAGAACTCCTGCTCCTTTTTTGAAAAGACCCGTAATTCACCAGTAGAATGAGCTGTCCATTCTGCTGATCCTTCAAGCACTAGAGAAAAGCAGCCCAGTGGCTGACTGGCATCCTGACACTGTTCCTAGAGGAGAGGAGAACATAGAGAATGGGCTTCTGTTTGTGTAGAACAAGAAAAGCAGCCTTCCCTGAGGAAATACAAGACTCAGCAGCCAGATTTTTTCCCCCAGAAAAGCACAGAATAATAAATTGGGTTTACTATCCCTCAGCATGCAGCCATTTTGGTCTTTCTCCTTTATCACATTTTCTTTTCAAACATTTCCGTAAGTGAGAGCTGCTGCCATGTGAGTCACAGGCAGTTTCTCTCTTTGGATCTTGTGACTGCAGGAAGAGGGCTTTCTCTGGGCCTGAAAAGAGCACCCTCCTGGTAGGAAGTTAAATCTCTCCCCTCGTGTAGGAGGAAGTGTTCGTATGAAGCCATGAGAAGCTGACATGTGCTGCAGTCGGGTGTGGTCCCCTGCTAAAACCACTCCTTACCACCCAGAATGGGCTCCCTTGTTGTTTTCCAGGCCTGGGGCCTTCTAGGGGCTTATATCTTGCCTTGGGGCTCTCAACTCTGTGGGCAGATTGTACATCCCCTGAAGATGGTCTGGCTGTGAGGTCAAAGCACCCCTCACTTGGACAGGAGAGTCAGCCAGGTAGGGGAGCCTGCCCCCACAGTTCCTTCTCTCTCCCCAGCCTTTGGTGGTAAGCTGAAGAACCCACTCCGAGTGGTCTTGGTGGCCACCCATGCTGACATCATGAATATCCCTCGTCCAGCTGGAGGCGAGTTTGGATATGACAAAGACATGTCGTTACTGAAAGATATCAGGAACAGGTAAGGGAAGCCTGGGGGAGCCTCTTATCCAGGGAACTGGATTTGGGAGGTGAGTATGAAAATACAGATGGAAGTCATGTGACCTGACAAAGGAATGAATGGCCCATCTTCCATGATTGATCTTTTGTATTTTTCATCTTTTCAAAGAATGAATACACATAAAACAACTAAATAAAGATGAAGAGCATGTGATAAAGAGGAGCAGTTCTCTCACTGCTTCCTTTGGCTCAGCGGCACTGTCCAGAGGGGATTTCTGGTGATTGGTTTAAGTTCTTTTCTTGATTATCACCATAGCACTAATCAGTGTTTCTCAGCATACAAGTTGCAGCGCACTAGTGGGCCATGAAATTATTGGGGTCATGACTAATTCTGTCTACAACAGTATAGGATGAGATGGAATAGAACAGAAGAGAATAAAATAGATCAGTGCATTTAATGTCAAGTATTTAAAATTTTTTTTTTCACTTACAAAATTTAGGTGTGCACAGGATCAGAGGTTAAGAATGTAAATTTCTACTCAAAGACTGTAACACTCCTTTTTTTTCCATTGATACAGTTATTTACCTGAAACTGGGTAACTTATAAAGAAAGCGTTGATTTAGTTCACAGTTTAGGAGGCAGAAAAATCTCAACAGCATATTAGCAGTTCTGGTAATGGTGTCCTTGGCTACATCACCTTGTGGCACAGAGCATCATGGTAGGATTACCTGTGAAAGGAAGCCAAAGAGAGAGACCCAGGGATCCTGCTTTCTCTTTGTAGCAACTCTCTATGAGGTATAACTGGAATCCCATGGAAACTCTTCCTTTGGAGAGCAGCACCCCAATGACCTGAATCATCTTCAGTTAGGCCCCTCCTCTTAAAGGTTCCACCATGAATGATACACACACTGGGAACTTAATCTCAAGCACATGAGTCCTTGGGAGACAAACCACGTCTAAATCAAGCATTCTCCATCCAAAAAAAAGAGTGAACTGTGTGTTAGTAACTTGAATCTTGAATTATCAATTTGAGGCTCATACCTTCCTTCCTCTTGGTGTGAAAGTGAGTCTTCTGTGCATATTCCGGGTGAATGGTGTAACTGTAGTACTGTGCCTCTGCCTCTAGTCCTTACACTTTTAGCAGCCTCACTTACAAGATGAACATGTGGGCCTCCCCTTTCCTGCTCAGGAGGAGCTGATGTCTTTCCATAGTATGTCCCTGCTGCTGGGTAGAAGGCCAGCGGTCCTGTTGGTATGACTGGGAATGCAGGCTCACGTCCCCAAACCTGTGCACCTAGAGTGACCAAGCAGAGTCTACCAAACAGCAGGGATGGGGACCTCTGTAAGGTGCTCTGGGGCCAGTAGGAGCCCTGGGCTCTGCTTGGAAAGACCTGAGGAAATTGACTCAGGGCTGATGTAGTTCTTACTCTCACCATAGGTTTGGGAACGATCTTCACATTACAAATAAATTGTTTGTGCTTGATGCTGGGGCTTCTGGGTCTAAGGACATCAAGGTACTTCGGAATCACCTCCAAGAAATTCGGAGTCAGATTGTCTCGGTAAGTCTATCCTGGAGGGCCCTAGATCTGACCTCTGCTGTCATCAGCAGTGACCAGGGAACTAGGCTCTCTGTTCTACTCTTTTTGTTAGGCTTGGTTTTCTGGGGACACTTTCAGAGTAGGACCCAGGACTAAGGGACCACCTGGATAGGCTGTGAGCATATTATTCTGCAGTGAGGCAGGATAGGAGAGAAACAAGAAATGGTAGGAGATAGTTATTATGGGCCAGGTGGACCAAATCAGAGTGCTTGCAATTCTTAGTTTACGTGGTTCGTTTAAATACAAAATTTCGTTTTACAAATTGCAAAAGGAATTCTAAAGTGCTCTATTGTGGAATGTGAGAAAACTCAGACAAAAAATCATAAAATTTATCAAAGGGCCATTTTAGAAAATTCAGAAAAGTTAGAAAACACTAACAAAGTTTATTGAACAACATAAAACTATAGATCAGAACAAGTGGAATGAGAGCATGTTCTTGCCACAGGTAAGATATGAAAAAATGCTTCATTTTTTCCCAAGTTAAATAAATTTCATACAGTTTCAGCTAGCATCTGAATGGGATGGAGGTTGTTAGGGTTTTTAATCTTCAAATTTCAGTGGAAGAAGAAATAAAGCGCATGATAAAGGCTTTATAATCAATAAAATAACAAGTTAGTGTCAATGTAAACCATAATATCTAACAGAAATTTAATGAAAAATAAGTATTTTAATTTAATGAGGAAAATATTTGGTTAATAATCCTGCACAACTGGTTATTTTGCTGGGAGGAAATGAAGCTAATTATCCTACTTTCCACACTGCCTGACCATTTGTGGATTGAAACTATTGAATGTTCAAATATAAAACAATAAATATCTTGGATAGTGATTTCGGGGAATGTGTTTTTAAAATAACTTAGAATTGAGGCAAACTTTTAAGGAAAGGTTACAAAAATCTACAAGCTTTCAAAGAAAGTATACCTACTTGACAACAGAAACATTTAATCTCTGACAGTAAAGATTGATAAAATTAAAAGGTAAAATAGCCTGGAGAAAATTATCATTACATTTGACACTAAAGGATTGCTTATTCATAATATGCAAAAGGCTCTGTAAAACTGATAAGAAACAGAAAAAACATGCGAAAAGGCGAAAATATTACATTACTCTCAGGCATGTTCCTACCACACAAGCCCAGCTCTGACTTGGGTAGGTGTGTGACACCTCTACTGTCGCACAGAGGTATCTGGGATCTAGTTCCTTTCCAGCACCAGGCTCTGGTTCCACACTTGCATTCAGAATGCTCAGGAAGCCCTTTTCTCTGGCACAAAAATGTCCCTGCACCTCATGTAGGGCCCCCTTTTGGCACACTCAGCAGATGGGAGTGGTCTGGCAGGCCTCTGGGAATCAGAGCCCCCACACAAGCAGGTGGTGAGCTGCCCCATGTTTGGATGATAGCCACCTTAGCACAGAGTCCTTGAAGATTTTGAGTTAGGCTGTGGTAAACCCCTCAACAACCCCTGAGGCCAGACAAGTGGAGCCCGCAAATAAACTGTTTATGACTGAGAAATTTTTTTGATCAGGAATTGGAGTTTAGGTGACATAAAACTTGATTGGAAAAGAGTGCCTAATTAACAGTGCAGTGCAGTACAAGGCTTGTGTGGCTGCTAATTAGGATGGTATGTTGATATGAATCTGAAACCTAGGCTGGTTTACTTAACAAACTTAAAAAGTTAAAAACCAGGGGCCCGGGATTTAGCTCAGTGGTTCCGGTGCCTGCCTCGCAAGCTCAAGGTCCTGAGTTCGATCCCCAGTACCAAAAAAAAAAAGTTAAAAACCAATTTCAAACTAGTTACCAAGAACTGGTCTAATGGAAATAACAGTTCAATAACAATCCCTATGAATACCACATTTATGGGTTGAAATCCACTCTACTGTTGACAAAGATACTCATTCTCTGTTCTCTCTTCCTAAAGTACCCATTGCCAGAGTGGAACAGTCACTTCCCAGTGGGGCATGAGAGACAGGGTAAGCGAGGGAAGAAAGTATTGAGCAAAACATGGTGCATTACAAAATTCCAAAAGTGGGGGCCAGGGGTTTAGCTCAGTGGTTCTGCCACCTGCCTCAAAAGTGCCAGGTCCCAAGTTCAAGCCCCCGGTACCAAAAAAAAAAGTTCCAAAAGTATAAGTCTAAAGACTCAGCGTCTGTTTATCAAGACAGAGCTGAAAAGCTTGTACAAAGCTGTACGTTTGATAAACAAATTCTGCCTGAAGGCAGCACTGAAGCATTAACTGCCCCGTCACTCCAGCTGCGAAGTGCCGTCTTATTTGGGGTGTCAGGAGCACAATCAAGTGAACAGCACTGTGTCCACTGGGCTCCTCACTCGCCTTCTCCCACCCCACATGCTCTAGGGCTGCCCCCCCATGACTCACCTGTGTGAGAAAATCATTTCCACGCTACCATCCTGGAGGAAGCTCAATGGGCCCAACCAGCTGATGTCACTGCAGCAGTTTGTGTATGATGTGCGAGACCAGCTGAACCCCCTGGCCAGTGAGGAGGACCTCAGGCGAATTGCACACCAGCTCCACAGCACAGGCGAGGTGAGTTCTCCATGTGGCTGGGCAGTGGGGCAAGATGGAGTAGGGACTCAGATCTAGTCCAGGGCCTGTGGGGGAATGAGCCTGGGGTGGCAGAGTGGACATGGCCTAGTCACCCACGGTATTTCCAGATGTGCAGTTATTACTGCCTGAAGTAATTCCCAAACCTGCAGCTCCCTGCTTCTCCTTCATCTTAACACTACTATCTAGATTTCTCTCTTTTGCTTTTGTCATCCAGTTCCTGTTAGTTAGGGCCACAGGGTTGCTGTCCTGGGTGACTGTCTTCTCATTCACCTTTGGAGACTTGATGTTTTCCTGCTCTTTCTGGCAGCCCCGAGGCTGGTGGCCTCCTGTGGTTCCAGCTCCAAATCAGCTTCCTGATCTACAAAGAGTTGAGAAAGGTGATGAGGTGTCCTCAGGCAGACCATTTTGGAGACACTTAAGACAAAGAAATAGTGTGTAGAGCACAGACTGATCATAACCCTAAAGACACACTTAAAACCCCACATGCCTGCTCAAAGTAACAGAAAATAGGACTCTGCTTCTGGTCCTGTGGCATTCAGCATTAGCATTGGGGATGTGTACCCATCTCCAGAAAGAGACACAGCTTCACATTTTTCCATCCTATGAAATCAGAGGCACCATGGGCTGGACTGGGCCAAGAGCAGCCCTTGTGAATATTAAGAGCTAGAAGAAGTTGGAGAATATTGAAACCAGAAACTCAGGTGCTACGTGATGGCCGTGCTTGCATGAGTTGTATATTTTGAAACGAATATTGAATCCAGAAGCCAGTGACCCAGAAGAACCACAAGTAGTGATTTAATTAGCCTTGTACACTCCCAGGAAACAACCAGCAAATCTGCTGATTCCTCCAGCCGTACCGTAAGGTGATTGCAAGGAAGGAGATAGGAGGAGTCAAGCTTAGATTGTAAGACATAGCTGGATAGAAAGTGTTTTAACTCATTCATTTGGCATAATATCCTCTCATTTCACCAGCAGCTTCCTAGATCACAGGAAATAATTCATTTAATTTGATATCACATCCTCCTTAAGCTTGAGCCTTAAGTAAATGAACACTTAAAGGGAAAAAAAGAAAGGAAACCTCGTGTGCCGTGGCCCCACTTTGACTGACCACACCCTCCTTCGTTTCTGTCGCTGCCGTCTAGGAAATGCTCTGTCCGCCTTACACATTCTCCCCTCGTCTGTCTTTCTGTGGCCCAGGACCCCACATAGCACATGGTGACCTGTCTCGTCTCCCGGGCCTCTCCCGAGGCCATGGGTCAGGCTGTGTCTCCCATCCTCCTGAGCGATAGCAGTACTAAGTGTGCATGGTGACCCACAAAGTGCCCTGTCAGGAACTGCGTACACATGGACTGTGTCCTTCATGAATTTCCAGTCTGAGGTTCAAGTGCAAACAGAACCACACAGAGTGGGCATCATAAAGGTCTAAGCCTGACTAGGGCAGAAAAGTCTTCCTGTGGCCAACAGGTGAAGTGTGTGGTGCCTATGAGGAAGGAGCCATTTTCATAAAAGCGAGGAACAGGGAGGGAGCAGAGGAAGAGTAACTGTTCCCTGAAAGAATTTCTAGTTTTTGTTACTTTCTTTCTAATTTTTTTTTTAAGAGCTAAACATGACCTATAGACCTGAAGTCCCCTCCAGTCACCACTTCTGGTGTCTGACTCCTGTCCTTTCTCTGAGGTGAACGATCATCATAGTGGTGTATCTTTCCAGAACTTTTGTATGGAAATGTTTAAATTTAATATGTATTTACATAATTATATACCACATATATATACTTTTGAAAAATTTCAAGTCTTTAAAGAAGTCCCAAGAATGCTATCATGAACTCTAATATACTCTGCTCTTAAAGTTGATTATTTATATTTCCTAACATTTGCTTGGTTTCTCTCCTATTCATTTACTAAATTATTTTTCAGACAGCCTCATACTCCACCTCTTAATACTTTAGCCTCTGTTTCCAAAGAGGACATTATTCTACATAACCCAGTGTATCAAATGGTCACATTTCAGAAACAACAACATTGGCACAGTAGTCTGACTGATGGAATAGTCCTCGCATAAGAGTCTTTTGCTTGTGCTCATGACTTCTTTTATACTAGTTTTATTCATGTATGCATTTATTTTGGGATTCAGGATCCAGTCACACTTTCATCGCATTTGTTTGCCATGCCTCCTCCTCTTCCTTTTCTTTTACTTGTATTTGTGTGTGTGTGTGTGTGTGTGTGTGTGTGTGTGTGTGTGTTCCATTATGTTGAGCTTTTTGGCATTGAACAGTAGTTATATCTCAGAATCAGTTTTTCATATTTTCAAGCTGCTATTCGAGCATCAGTGTTTGATTTTAGGGATAGATCCATGGAAGGACCTTGAGTCATTTCTCAGAACCTCTGCTCAAGTTCTGTTGCTGGGATGAGGGCCTTTTGTGCTCTGAATGATGGATATCCCTGGTGTGGATTCCACTCCCACTGGTGACCTTGTGTTGTCCCCTCTGGCAGATCAACATCATGCAGAGTGAAACAGTACAGGATGTGCTGCTCCTGGACCCTCGCTGGCTCTGCACCAATGTTCTGGGGAAGCTGCTCTCAGTGGATACGCCCCGGGCCCTGCACCACTACCGGGGTCGCTACACCATGGAGGACGTCCAGCGCCTGGTGCCTGACAGCGATGTGGAGGAGCTCCTGCAGATCCTAGATGCCATGGACATCTGTGCCCGGGACCTGAGCAGTGGGACTATGGTGGACATCCCTGCCCTGATCAAGACTGATAACCTGCAGCGCTCCTGGGCCGATGAGGAGGATGACGCCATGGTGTATGGTGGAGTGCGTATTGTCCCCGTGGAACATCTCACCCCCTTCCCATGTGGCATCTTTCACAAGGTGCAGGTGAACCTGTGCCGCTGGATCCACCAGCAGAGCACTGAAGGTGATGCCGACATTCGCCTGTGGGTGAGTGGCTGCAAGGTCACCAACCGTGGGGCAGAGCTGTTGGTGTTGCATGTCAACCATGGCCAAGGCATTGAGGTGCAGGTGCGTGGGCTGGAGACTGAGAAGATCAAGTGCTGTCTGCTGCTGGACTCAGTATGCAGCACCATTGAGAACGTCATGACCACCACGTTACCAGGGCTGCTGACGGTGAAGCACTACCTGAGCCCACAGCAGCTGCGGGAGCACCACGAGCCCATCATGGTCTACCAGCCACGGGACTTCTTCCGAGCCCAGACCCTGAAGGAAAGTTCCTTGACCAACACTATGGGTGGGTACAAAGAGAGCTTCAGCAGCATCACCTGCTTCGGCTGTCACGATGTCTACTCCCAGGCTAGCCTTGGTATGGACATCCATGCGTCAGACCTGAGCCTCCTGACCCGTAGGAAACTGAGCCGCCTGCTGGACCCTCCTGACCCCATGGGGAAGGACTGGTGCCTTCTTGCCATGAACTTGGGCCTCCCTGACCTCGTGGCCAAGTACAACACCAACACTGGAGCTCCTGGGGACTTCCTCCCCAGCCCAGTGCATGCTGTGCTGCAAGAATGGACCTCCTACCCGGAGAGCACTGTGGGCATCCTCGTGTCCAAACTGAGGGAGCTAGGTCGCCGGGATGCTGCTGACTTTTTACTTAAGGCCTCTTCTGTGTTCAAAATCAACCTCGATGGCAGTGGCCAAGAGGCATATGCCTCAAGCTGCAACAGTGGCACATCCTACAATTCCATTAGCTCTGTCGTGTCCCGGTGAGGGTGGCCTCAGCATGATCAATACCTCCTCAACTGCAGAAGCAAAGGGGTGTGATCCATCCTTCCACTGGAGTCCAGGACACCCCTTCCTGCACCCACACCCCTAAGATACCACAGTCCCTCTGCTCCGCCTGTCTCCCGCCTCTGCCTCCCTGCCTCTCCCACTCTCTGTGTGGGGATGGTTTTTCTTATCAAGATCAGACCACACCCTTCGTTTTGGCCACTCGGAAACCTGGAGGCCCTCTTCGGGTTTAGGACTCTATCTCTCATCTACATTACTTTCCTTTCACTGACAGTTTTATTGGAATTCCAAACTTTTCAATGAAATTTTTTAAACTAGTTTATTGATTATCCTTTTAAAAAAGGAAAGAAAATGCACATTTATTTGCAATGTGTATTTCTTACACTCTCTTCTTATACTAGCTCCTCAGCTTCTCTCTTTTGTATTTGTAGGAAACTCTCATGCTTGGACTCCACTGTGTGATTTATAAATAGACAATGTGAGTGCCTTTTGCAGAAGAGGGTGTGTTTGAAATCATCTGAGTCAGCCAGGAGCTGTCACCAAGGAAATGCTACCTCTCTGTCCCTTGCTGTATGCTGATTGTCACTAGAGGTGCTTCACCTTGAGTTTTTTTGTTTTTGTTTTGGATGGGAATGGGCAATATCTGTTTTTTTGTTTGGCAAGGAAAGGGGAGAAAAGAATCTTCCTCCAGAGTGATTTCATGGCCAGTGTTGTTGCTGTGAGATGTTTCCCAGTTTGCTTTTGTTGAAATGTCCACATGAACATGCACAGAAAGCGCACAGACTGCCACGCTCGGTCATTCCTCTCATCTCAGGTAGAACAAGGCGACACAGTTCCAGAGCTATGGAGACCTGTGTAAGAATGCAGAAGACCTGGACTCAGAATTTGCGGCAGTGTGTTGTCATTGGTGCATAGCAGATAGCTTCCACATGTAGATCCTGGTTGGATAACTTCTTATACTTGAAGTCTTAAAAGAAAATGAAGGATGCAGGTTTTCTTGCAGTGATATGAAATTGTGATAGAATTTTAAATTGATATGAGGGAACATGTTTTAATTCTTCTGTCCTAAGAAGCATGTATGTTAATGTTCTATCATCTATATATCACTATATATATAGATATCTACATCTATATATATATATGTGCACTATGTATATACATATATATGAATACTGGTATTTTTACTTAATCTATAAGATGTCTTAAAAGAATTAAGCTTGTTTTTTTCCCTTTTTTTAAAAAAATAAACCATTGCTTATTGCATTGGATTTGTGGGTCCTTAATTCAAAAAATACTCTCTTTCTTCTGGGTTTTCAGTGCCAACAGGCAGTGGGACAAAGTGGGAGAAACCTGAAAGTCATTAATCTAAATCCTTATGGATTGGAAACAATTCATTTTACTTAGGTGCTTACTAATTACTAAACCTGGCAAAGTAAAAAGAACACAGATGGTATTCATATTTGTTCTCATTTAAAAGAAAAGAGGCCCTTTCTGTTTTCCTTTGGTGAACCAACTAAATAGCTTTTAATCCTCACAATTACCAAAAGAAAGTTTGCTTTTCTGAGATCAAGCTATTTGGGCCAGGAGCAAGCGAAATTCCCCAGCACAAGATACCTCTCCCCTTGCCCTTCTTTAAATGGAAACCACATGTGTCCCAGGCCATCCACTAAGGACTCCAGAGCCATGCTACCTGGTACCAGTTTGTGATAACAGATAAGGCAACAGAACTGATGATGAGTGAAACCTCAGCATTGCCCCCCTCACCCCGCAAAAAAAAGGAAGAGAAAAAAGATTGGAGGGAAAAATACTAAAATGGTAATGCTTTTCTCTGTGCTGGTAGGAATACAGTTCATTTTGCTTTGTGTTAATTATTCACAGCAAATAATTTACTTTTATAACTGAGAAAAGAAATTTTAATGAGTGATCTACAAACTACACATAGGTCTACCTAGAAAGGATGACATTGAAATTGAGGTTGCCTTATACAGTGGAACCTCCTCTTCTTGTCTAACTCCATCCTGAGTGTTGGACTTAGTCCCTCTTACTTCAGTGAAAATTCACATTAAAGGGACATAGAAATGGACAGCTGAAACCCAGGGACAAGGGCTCTCCTTCTGTAACATCTGTATGCACCATCGCAGGGAATGCGTTGGGCTCGATGGGTCCCTGAACCTTTGTCAGATGAACATCTCTGTGGGAGTCACAGTAGTTGATGACACAGAGTTCATGTAGCAAAGTGTATTTCTCTCCAGAAAGGTGTTCAGTTAACAGAGGAAGGAGGTAGAGAAGATATAGGACAGATGAATGAAAGAACTCTAGGTCCCAGTACAGGCACCTCCCTATGGTTCTGGGCCCCAGGCTCCTGAAACGTTGAAGACACACTCAGGAATCCTTACAGTCCAAGCATCAAGGGCATAAGGATCACCAAGCTCACTGCCTATCACAGGATCTGTTATGGACATTGCCAGGGGCAGTGTGTGGACTTGGGTACCAAGAACTCTGACAAGACCAAAACTGGTCAGCAAAGCCTCACCATGTGGTGCTGGCTCTACCTTTTGCAGGAGAAAAAAAAGCAGCCTATAATTCACCCTCTGTGACCATAGTAAGAATCAGGATGTGTGTAGCTGGGTGTGATGGTGCACACCTGTAATCCTAGCTATTCAGAAAGCTGAGGCAGGAGTATTGCAAGTTCAGGAAAATTTGGGCAACTTAACAGGACCCAGTTTCCCAAAGTAAAATTAAAAATGGCTGAAGAGCCATAGCTCATGAGGGTGTGGGTTCAATGCCCAGACCTGGAAAAAAAATCAGGATGTACAAGTTCTTAAGAATCAGAAATAAGAACCATTCATGGGGCTTTTTCTTTAGAGTTGTGAAATACACAGGGCATGTTCCTTATCACCTCCTGGCTTTGTCGTGGAGTGTTCCAGGTCTGCAGTACAGATGAAAGAATCCCAGAGACCCAGGGTCTTTATGGGCGAGCTAATGGGCATTTCTGTGAGTTCCGATTCCCCATATATCTGAAAGGCGTCAGAACTATGGCTGGGGCTTTGTGTAGAATACAGTTTACAATTAATACTGAAGAATTGACAGAAATCTTAATCTATGATTGGCCCATCAATATCCAGAGTCCACACCAGTCATACTAAACCCTGATAGTGTGACTCCAGAAAAATCCCTCTTACTGTGATGCCTGTCCTGGTTCTTTCTGCAAAATAGCTGCTAAGGCTGGCCAGGTGCACAACCTGAGGGCAGCTAGGAGTTTGGTGCTTAGACATGGAAGACCCTCATTAAGAGCAAAAACTCAGGTTCAGTCTTACCAGATGAAAATGTTCTGGATATCCGTGGTGGTAACAGAGTGAACATATTGCCACTGATCTGTGAAGTTGCAATATTTAAAGTAGTGTGTTTATGTTATCTTTATTTTATCACATTTGAAAGATAAAGTATAAAGAGATAAAACTGGAACTTCAGTGTGTCCAGATAGCAAGACAGCTTGCAGAGTAATAGACAAAACCATTCATGATATTAGAGCAGCACAGCAAAGCAGAACCTCCTAAAAAGATGAGCTAAAAAAGATGGTGCATTGCTTCTTTGGAAGGATTTGGTGCTGTTATTTAAAAAAGACAAGGCAGAGGAAGTAGGAATTCTGTTTGGCTTCCCTTTTTGCCGTGACAGGTAGGGCGTAGGGTCCAAGGCTGGGGAGAGCAGTGGGAGGTGAAGAAGAATGAAGATTATGCTTGAAAGCTGGGACCAGGTGGAGCCATAACCTGTCAGGAGCTAAGAGCTGCCTGGAGTCCAGCACACTGTTCATTTGTAGCGTAAGACAAACAGGAAGAGAAGGCAGGGTGACTAGTGCCACGTGGCCTACATGGCCTAGGCTGAACGTAGCATGAATGTCTCATGATCAGGGCATGCGCATAAAGGGAACACGGAAGAAGGACACATAACCTAACTATCTCCTGGAGCTGTGCCGTCCAGGGTCTACAGTCTTGGTCTGTTTGACGGTCTAGTCTATGGAGGAGAGAGGGAGTAGGGAGGGGGCAAAGGACCATCTTCAGGCTTGGCCTGCAGCACCTTTTAGTTTGTAATTAATTTGTTTTCCTTTTGAATTCATACTTGGAGTGGCAGCATAGACTTTGCAGGACAAATTCTGGAGGATGTATCAGCCCAAACTTTTTAGGAGGAAGTAACATGCTCTGATCCCTCGTTGCCCAGACAAATCTTTGTCATCTGTTAGGGTGACACGCCTTCACTTCCTACACTGAGCTCATGAGAACTGGGCCAGGGCTCCTTGAGGCCTGCCAGGGCTCGGTTCCGTAGCACCTAAGAAACTGGCTCTCAGGGCCTGTTTTTCAGAGATTGTAGCTGGGCTTTGGGTAGCACCTAAGTCTGAAGTCAGACATCATTGCTGTCAGAGATTAGGTGCTGGTGAGAAAGCTGACTCTCCATGGCTGTCAGTCCCAAGACTCAGCAGCTCCGGATGTGGGCTCAAGATAATGATGGGCTTCACTGCTCCTGCTGAATGCCTGGGCCATTCCAGGAGGCAGGGTTAATGAGTACTCAACACTTCCAGCTTGCTCTAGTTGGGATGTGGAGTGTCCCCTAAAGAAGAGGTGTTAGAGGCTGGCTGCTTGGCGTGGAAGTCGTGGGAGATGGTGGAGACATCAAGAGCTGCAGCCTAGGGGGAGTTTTGGGTCAATGGCCGTGCTCTTCTTAGAGACAGTCGAACCCAGGTCTCATCCTCTTGGCTTTTTCCTGCCCTAACCATGAGGTGAGCCACTTAACTCTGCTACGAGCTCCCAGCCCTGATACCTTGCCACAGGCCCATAGGTATCAGGGCCAAAGAACCAAGGACTGAAACCGCTAAACCCTCAGCCAAAGTTAACCTTTCCTCACTGTAAGTAAGTTGATTATTCCAGGTATTTGTTACAGGCGTAGAAAGTTGGCTAACACATACATTCACCTGCAGAAAGGAACCCTTGGGATATGTCTGGGGCAGAGCAGGAACAGACAAGGGCAGACAGCTGCTCCTCACTCCCAGAGCCATTCGTGCTGATGGTTGCTGGCTGGTGACCATGTGCTCCCCAAGTCAATTCTTGGTCAAAAAGGATGAGGTAATAGAGAGAAGGGGAGGAGAAAAGTCTCACTAATTACTCCAGCAGAGGCCCGGAGAACCTGGGCTGTCTCAGCGCCGTCGCTGGGCAGGGAGTCTGCCTTGAGGGTTATAGTGGCCCTGCCTGGTACCCAGGGCAGGAAGCTTGGACCATGGAATTATTCACCAGGGCTACAGAGAATGGGTTTTATGGATAACAGCATCTTGTCCCATTGAAATACATAATTTCACAAATTAAAGGAACTTCAGAGATGGTTCAACTACACTCTTTAGGGGGTGGAAGCAAAAAGATGAAAATGTCTAGATAATGTTATACTGTTTAACTCTTCATCATTCTGATTTAGGGTCAAGTCATCTGACAACATCAGACCATGTATGACCACTGCTCTGCCATATCATGTGTGCTCATGCCATACTATGACGTGAGTGTGTGTATATATGTGCACATGTATATGTGTTATGAGTATACATGTGGGCATGTTATTGGTGTGAATTTGTATGTGTATAAGAATATGTGTACATGTATGTGGTACATGTAAAGTGACTGAGTTGGTGTGCATATGTGTTTAGGTGTGCATGTGCATGCATATGTGTGTATTCATTTGTGTATGTGCCATGTGAGTGTTTTGTGTGCCTGTACTGTGCACCTTTGTGTGGAGAGGAATTCTTTGGCCATAAAAATTTGCTCTTCTGGCTAGAACATTGTCTCAAATTCAGTTGTGTATGTGTGCTTCCTACCATCAGGGTGACTAAACAACATCAGGAGAACTTTCCTCCACCCTATGATGTCAGCACAGCCATCCTTGAAACTCATAAACTGAGGCTGCAGCCCTAGCAGGAGCTCTACAGAGTAAGCTTTCTCACAGCCAGGGTTGAAAAAAATCTTTCTGCCTTCCAAAAAAGGGCCATACGAGGACCACTTCCTCCAAACCACATGATTCTGAGACTGACCTGCACAGAAAAGATGGAGGCCAAGTGCTTACTGCAGGGATCCCTCCACTGGTGGCCAGTGAGCTGATCTAGTGCTCCCGGCCTGGGGCAGGAGCAGTGTCCCTTGGCTTTCAGCCAATTTCAGTAATGAAAGTTTTGTTTTCTGCTTCAGCTGTTTCCTGTAGACATACTTCAATGTAGTTGAAATCATATGGCTAGTACAAT